ACTCTGCTCTAAAAAGAATGCACTCATCATAGTACATGTCACCAATAGTGACTTTGAAGAGTGAAACAAATCCAGGAAGTTACTAAACTTACTCTTTGGTTCTTTCGGTAAAGTCAAGTAAGTAAAAAATAAAATAAGAGATAAAAATATTTTTAAAATATCTTCTTTTTATTTTATACCTACGTGACTTTACCGAAAGAATCAAAGAGTATGGATCCTTGCAGTCACGAAAACTGCAAATCTAGTTACTAAACTTACTTTCATTCGAATAAGCTGAGGGGTGGTGCACTGTGGTACTCTGAACTGGTCGAGTTACATTCCTGGCCACTGCTAACACACCAGCGGCGAGTGATAGCAGAATCGTTGCCCACTTAAGCAATAAGAGCCGGCCAGCGTGAAGTATGATGAAATAACTCTCACAATCCACAAGGCGTGCAAGTTATTTCTCCTACTTCTCAATAGAACTCAGTGGATGAATAACACTATGTAACACGATTTTTGTTCCTGGGTAGTAAGTGTTATTTTCTAATTGCTTACGCCTCACAAGTATAAAAAATCGCTATTATTCCCCACAAACTTTGCTTTTGTGGCCAGGACTTTACGTGAAGGAATGACACAAATGCGCACCACGTTTTCTCATTGAAAATAGGTACATTTAAAAATATCACTGTCCTGGTCACAAAAGCAAAGTTTGTGGGGAATAACAGCCATTTCTATACAGTTGAGGCATAAGCAAATAGGAAATAACACTTACTACCCAGGAAAAAAAAATATTGTTACACAGTGTATTTTATGCTGCTCACTTTGGACATGGGTGGTCTTCTGTACGGGGCAGTGTAGGGTCCTGGGCCACGTCGGCAATGATCTGAGTCAGCTCGCTGGGAAACGAGAGAGGGGCGGAGGGCATCGAAGACAAAAAACATCGACACAAATCTCAAGCGCTCTTTGATGTAACAACCATAGATGGTGTAAGACAGTTCGGGTTGGTGTGGAATCGTGACAGTCTTGGATTCAAGGTTGGGACACGCAAGGCTCAGGAAGAGAGCCTTTTAGACCAAGTTCAAGTGTCAAGGTCAGTCAAAGCTGAAAGCTTGGCATTTAATTTTGGCCCAACATTTGACTTACAATAAAAATGAGCAATCATTCACAATTTAGAAACATTATGAAAATTACCACGACGAAGAATAACGCATTACAAGTTCTCTGACTGAGAGCGCCTCTGGTCACATGCCCGTGGCCAAGGTCAAGGAGGGATTGTCCTTGAGGCTGAGGACTGGCCTCGAGGCCACCTATATGTTGGATCATCTTTCCAAGTTATCCTGACCCCATGTTCCAGACAGGAAGACAGACTCACTCGACTTCGTGGGTGATCTTGTTGACGTAGATGCAGCTGTTGTCAGCTTCCTGCTGGTAGTCACAGTTCCTGCACTGAGCACAAACATAAAGAGACCTCCACTCAAAACCACACCGCTTACAAACACAAACATCGTGCCAGCTGAACAACTGTAATCAGTGCCGTCACTTATTTGGTCAAACACCGCTGATGTGAATTGAGAGGGTGTCCTGGGAAAAGCTGATAACCAAAAATATATATTTCAGTTTAATTAACTGCAAGGGCTAACATCAGTGGTTAGTGATATGTGAACAAGTCTTGAGTCACCCATCGCCAATCCGTATATTTACGAATTCGTGTGAAGCAAGTTAAATAACCCCCATGACCAACACAGCGGGAGCAGATCTTCATCCAGCAATAGAATGACAAAGGGTCGTATAATTACTTTCTCAATTGACAGCAGTCCTGAATGTATTACCACTGCATACAAAATTAGATATTACCTGAAAATGTCTGGAGCATTTCGTGGAAACAATATCAAAGCACAATTCTACGACATTCTATTAACCGCATGCCCTAAACCTAACAATATAACCTGTGGTTGAGATTTTTAAAGCGTCAAACAGTCCAGGTAAAAGTCTTTCTGACATTCAGTGTTCTGCTATAAAGCTACCAAATTTGTGGGCTGGGGGGCAGGTGGGGGGCTCAACTAGGACACGTGGTGAGCTGGCAGCCCCCCCTCCTCCTATTAAGCCCTGCCCACTTTTACTGTGCCCACTCAACCACTCGCCCGTTCAAGCAGTGGCCTCGCTTTTCTTTCCTGAGCTTGGCCCTGCCGACTGCTGCTCATAGGCCCCCACCCACAAAGATAGGCCCATTTGTTTACCTATGTCCGTGAGTCGAACATGATTGCAATAAAATGTTTTAACCGTGACCAAATGCTTTTGGGCTCCAGGAAAGCCTCTGTGAAACCACTTGGGACTGTCCCAGCCCAAAACCAAAATGCATAGTGGCTTTACTTTTTTTGATACCAGGAGAAATGTGTTTGTTTCAGTCTTAAAATAAGCAGCACTTACAGAGTAGAGGAGAATCCTGTTCTCCTTATCCTCCTTCGGGTAAAGCATGTTGTTGCTGAAACGGAATTAAACACGTTGTTCCCATGTTATTACTGCGGCACCTGTAAACACCTCTCCTGTATGAGTTGGCATGGTTAATTGTAGAGAAATTACAGGAAGAGAACATGCTTTGTTGTTTCAACAACATGTGAGTAAATACTATGTAAGTCAACCTGCCCATTGGTTTTCTAAACCGGTTTCAACATTTTGGGTCTCATCAGCAGTCAGGCTTGCTAAATAAATGCTGGTGGGTTGAAATGTTATTGTAAAAAGCACGAAAACTGACAGGCTGATGGACCAAAAGAAATACTGCTTTTACTTGTGTGGAGCCAGAATGGAGTTCCACGGTTGAGCTTAATGAGTTTCTTATTTGAACCAGCGTTTAACCAAACACCTAAACCTATCCAATAATCCCTCCGAGTCTTAAGACTTTATTTACAAAGGTTCCTATATTGCCACGTTTGGTCAATTCCTTGTGAAGAGTTGTTAACAGCCATGATCAACCCACTGTTGGATGAAGGCCTCACCAACAATGACAACCTATTTGCTTCAGTGGTTGTTGCAATACGCCACAATTCATATGCGTTCATTCATTCTATTTGCTCCATCGCGCGTCAGTGGACATGTCCATACCTGTCAACCCCTTATCAGTGCCTACATTATTACATACCAATTCAGCTGTCACTCCGTGCCCTTATACATCTCAAAGTTCATCCTACAAAGTCCCATCACAAGGGAGATGCACAAATACAAACAAAATTTGCCCGTATTGAAACGGCTGTACGCCGTATGGACCTGAAAACTCAATGGCCCTGCTGAAGAATAGGGGGTAAACCCGTATGGATTGACACGTATGCATCACTCCTTCCTTGGGAGACCATTCCATCACTCGTCTAATCCATCGGCTCCCGTCGAGAGGACACCACCACCCACGAAGCCAAGAAATCGGCTCACGCGCAGGTGGCCAAATAAATTGTGGCAGATCATGACCGCGAGAGATGGTAACGGGCTTATAGGAGGCCTTCACAGAGCAGTGGATAGGTCATGACGATGAATGTATTACTGAATCTGATGTTGATACATAGCTATCAAACCATACGGTTTTCCCCGTATTCTTGTACAGGGAAATTTAGTTTTTAGGTCCATACGGCGTACAGCCGTTTCAGTACGGGCAACCCCCCCCCCCCCCCCATAATTTGTGTCTATTTGTGTTTTTCTCCCTTGTAGATGGGTCTTTGTATGATGAACGTTGAGATTTATAATGGGCACGGGCTGGCCAATTAAGGTCTGAATTGGTCTGTAATAAGACAGGCACTGATAAGGGGTTGACAGGTATGGGATCGTGAGATTGTAAATGGCTTATAGGAGGCCTTCATAGAGCTGTGGATAGATCATGACTATTGTTGTAGTATAAAACGGATGTTGGCAGGGCACGGAAACACGAATCTACCAACTTCTTTGTACCGAATGAAATAGTAATACATTATATTCTTAGCTCTTTCAACAATATTGTTTTATATATATTTTATTATTGTATTGTTTCCCTTCAACGTGACTTTACCGAAAGAGCTAAGAATATGAATTACTGCAGTCACGAAAGCTTTAAATCAAAAGTAATACATTAGTTATAATTGCTACTACCGATAGGAACGGTTACTCAGTCTACTAGAATGTATACTGCTGATTGTAACCGTAGAATGTTCTGGCAAGTGTTCCGTTATAGCTTCTAAAACATTTATTCAGCGATGCGTTTTTTTTTAATCTGTTACTTATGAAACTAGTCTCCAATTAACCCTCGCCAAGCTGAATAAATGAGAAATCGCCTGGTCACGGTCAGTTGGATATTGTCCTTCATGCAACAATGAGTTGGTGCAGTGCTAATCTCCTGTTAACAACCACTCAACGATGGAAATTTCGCGTTAATATGACGGAGTGGAGTATATCCACAGCACCACCAACACCGTTGACTTCCCACAAAGCGGTACAGTATTTGTTTTATGCGCCCCGGGAAGTGAAATTAATTGACCACAAGCGTCTTCGCCAAAGAATAATCAACCCAACACATTCGTGTCAATAGCTGTGTTTGTGGCCGACAAAGGAAACCATACAAAAGGCGGGCGTTTAAGCAATGGCTCTTCACAACACAACGTGTGTGTATATATACTCACCACTCCTGACAAAACTTAATTCCGACAAAGCCGGGTCCCTCGCTGACTGCTTCGCCAAACTCCATGTTTCTATTGGCAACAACTACAATAACAACGTGAATAATTATGAACGGTAACAATCACAACATCGCCGTGATGATGAAAGCTGCGAGCGAGCCACCGCTGTCAAACCACGTGCGTCACCGCGCAGTGACTGACCCCGGAAGTGATGATGCGTGCACAAATGTACAATTATATTTTTTTACCCAACTAATTAATTTTAACGAAGATAAGAGTACAGTGTTGCCGCAGCTCAACGCTACAGTGAAATAGATGTAACAAGAACAAATATGGATGTAAATAGTGCGCGTGTGTGTGTGTGTGTTTGTGTTTATCTCCGAATTTGTTTCCGCTTCCTGGGGTGAATCTCCGCCACGTGGTGTCACAAACAACGTGCTTTGTGGCGAATGTTAGTGGTGGGAGTCGTCAACGTGAAGACGTTCAGCGTTGGTAAATAAATAACAGCACTCGCAAACATGCTCATAGTTGTCGAGCCGTACGGTTTACCCCGTGTTATTGTACGGGGGAAAATTGAGGTTTTCAGGTCCATGCGGCGTACAGCCGTTTCAATACGAGCACAAACACGTGGGGTTTTTGTTGTCTATTTGTTTGTGTTTCTCCCTTGTGGATGGGACTTTGTAGGATGAACGTTGAGATTTGTAAGGGCACGGGACGACCAATGAGGTCTGAATTGGTCTGTAATAAAGTAGGCAGCGCTGATGAGGGGTTAACAGGTTTGTGTGCATCCACATATCGAGCAAGCAAGCATCATCAGCATGCAATATTAACAAACAGCATAAGTAACATCATTGACTCAGATGATCAACATTAATACGTAACACCGCATTTGTTGAGTAACATAAATTTGTTTCTATTCTTCTGTGCGTCTCCCTTGTGATGGGACTTCGTAGGATGGACCTTGACATTTACAACAACACTTGCAAACGTGCGGCACTTTGACCAACATTCGTGATGTGAAATTGAAACGCGCGCGCGTTCTTGCAGATTTAGGCGGCTTAAAAGCGAGTTAATTATAAAGGAGCCAATTATAAAGGAGCCCAGGTTAAAGTGGTAGTGGGGGCGATGGCGATGCACAACACGGGCGTTGAATGGGCTGCTTGGGGGACACGTGGCGGGCGGCTGTGGGTTTAAACGGGGAGCGGAAAAGTCCGCTGCCGTTCTGCACTCCGCCTTCGACAGCGCGTGGTGAAGTATGGTCAAATTTTCAAATATCCCTCACGGGCCGCCCCCCTCCCTTTCAAGGCGTAGTTAGTAGGGAATCCCTCATCACCGCAGTGGACTGACATAACACACTTGTCCGTGCGTTATTGTTAATACGATGACTTAAAAAAAATTCGCACAGCTGAAAATGGAGCACGGTTGGCGACGTACGGTGCTAAAGAAGTTCAGCACACACACATACACACTCGTCCATTCTCCATCGTCTTGCATCTCTTCACTCTCGGGCTGTGTCCGTTTACCCCCCCCTCCTCCTCCTCCTCTGTCGACCCAGGTTCCCGCTGCCCCATGTCCCTGGAAAGCCTCTTCACATCCCCGCCTGCACCCCTCAACAGCGGCAGCGACCCCCCCTCGCTCAGCCCGGCGTCTGTGGCTGGGTAAATGTGGGGGGATGGGTCACGTTGTGGGCAGCAGAGGGCAGTGAAGCAACATTGACCAGCGTGGTCGTCCGATTAACCCCCACGGCGTCGGCGGGCCCTCGTCCAGCAGTGGATTAACAGCAGGGCTGTACAAGGAGAAAGAGAGTCGTGGAGAGACAAAGGTCAGATGGTAAAGGACCAGATGAGTCGAGAAGAGATGAGGATCGGCGATGGGGGGGGGGGGGGGTGCTAGGGGGAACGAGGAGGAACGAGGTGATAGGAGTCATAGCTCGGGGTAGACGATGACGAATCTAAAGGGACGGAAATTGACAATGCGAGGTACAAGCGGTGATGAGGGGAGGACCAGAGAAGGTAAGGAAGTACGAGGAGGGATTAGATTAAAATCACCTCCATTAAGGAGTACGCACGCGTACATGCCCCATCTTGTTCTTTCGTGTGGCTGCTGATGCAGAGCATCAACTACAATTTCACATTCAGGTGTTCAAGCCAGATAACCGCATCGGGAGTAGCGGAATAGTGTATCGCTGTGTTGACTCCTTTGTGTTTGTGGATCGGGACATTACGTCGTTATTTGAACCTTATGGCGGTATCCCGGGGTCCCCATAATCACCCCGGCTCTCGCATAATGTCCGTGATGCAGTCACTTTTAGTCTGTCGATGGTCGGCGATGCGGCAATCGACTCATCTCGACGAGCTGTACTCACGATGATGCACTATTCAAAGTTTAATTTTTCGACAACGGATTTTTTAAATGCTAGAATGTTTGGAGTTTCGACATCGTGGAGTAGCACCACCGATTTCGGATTGATTGGTTACCCCAGTCACGGAGTGAAGTACACCCCTGGAAAAAAAGATAGTGTGCCAGAAATAAAATATTGAATTGCCTCGACCCATTTTGTATTATTTGGTACCTCGGGGTACCGCCATGAGGATCATTTGTTGTGTGGTCTGTTCTAAATGACCACAATAGAAGACACACTGACTTACGCGATTGTTGTAACCTCCTCCGCTGCCTGCCATCCTGGTTGTGTCTGTCAGTGGACCGCTCACGGTGATTAGCGATGTCGGTCGTTCAATGGAGGAGGTGGAGGAAGGGGAGGGCACACCCCAGAGACCCCACGTTGACCTCGTCACCGCAAGGAGCGGCACGGGGAAGCGAAAGAGGATGAAGGTAGCGGCGGCGGCTGCTGTGGTGGTGGTGCAGGCAAAGCAGCAGCGAACGATACAGCAGCAGCGGCCGGTCAGCAAAGAGAGGGTGACGTCTCATCACTTCAGCCACAACAACAATTTATATTTATTTAGCATATAAATGTAATTGCATCTCTGGATGCTCTACAAATTGAGTTGGGTCGTTGGTATAGGTTAGATCACTCAGGTTTGTTGACTTCTGGGTGTATCACATGTATGATCTTTGCCTGGCCACCAATGACTGCACAAAAACGCAATTATATTTTTTTCCCACCAAATTCCTCTTATTTAACCTCTAATATCTATTATTGCTGTCTTTAAAGAGTGACTAGATTTGTTTTTTTGTGCCAACGGGGGGGTGGTAATTGTGGTCCGTACATTTTCGTGTCATGTGCGCGATCCATGGGGTTTGCAGTCATTTCAAAAGTGTTTAATTCCAAAAGCCTGTCTTCTTTTCTCGCTTTCAGCCAACAGAGTCCGTGCTTGACATCCATACAAAAACACTGATATCACCATTACCTGTAGGAAATTCGGTCTTTGTTGATAGGTGGATTCTAGTCATTTTCATTACGATATCAATATCTGCAGGGATTTGCTTTTGCTCTTTTTATCCTTGATGCTTACAAAAAGTAAATGTAATTCTGCTCCAGGTCGAGTCAAACGTTTCCACGAGCCCACGGACGGACGCGCGCTTGGCCCACCCTTTCGACCTCGTCTCTGCGAGTGGCTTCGGAGTGTTCGAGGTCCCTCTCACTCACATGGTGGGCGACGTGGCCACGGAAGAGCCACGCCAGCTGGCAGACAGGCACGAGCACGAGGAGGAGAATAATGACGAGGGTGGTGTCCAGGATGAGTTCCTGGGAGGGCTGGGTCGCAACCGGGAGGCGAAATTCACAGCAGCAGCAGCGATGCTGACTTGTGCCGTCACACAGGCAGACAAAGGTGATGCCCAGGACCGCTTTAGGTCTCACTCGCCACTGATATCAGCCATGTTGTTTCTTGAGGTTGTAGTTTGCCGTCTGGTTGGGCAATGACCGACAGAGCTTCCCCTTTGATGCAGGGATGACGCAGAGCACTGAGCCGGTGTGCACTCTTTCCCAAGGAGCGAAGAGAGAGGGGAAAGTGCGAGGAGATATTGGGCGGCTGCTCACTCGTGCCAACAACGGCATTGACCCGACAGACTGTCAGGAGGTTTGTTCGATTTTCCCCTCGAATCTTCCAAAAAAATTATTTCATGGTACTTGCAGTTGATATTATACTGTATTTGTTATGGATATAAGCGCATCTGCATAATATAGTGAGCGTCCATTGAAGTTTTATGGAATTTCCTAAAATGCTAAATAATTTTAGGTCGTGATGTTTGCGACGCTGTTGCAGAAAGGCGAGCTGCCAGTGAATCAGATGTCGATTCCAGGCGGGGGGGAGAAGGAGGAGGGAGAGGTGGAGTTGAATGAGACAGATTCCTCACCTCTCAATCTCGGCTCACAGGTGATTCTGCTTGACCGCAGCGCACGCAGAAAATCCGCTGCGTTTACAGAGATTAAATAAATCTCTTTCTGCAGCTGGCTCGGGGATCAAATCACTGCTCATAACCTGGGTTCGAATCTGGGCTTCACTCACCAGTGTTTAAAAAAATACACATCATTACCTTGATTATTATCAGCATAACTGTTATGCATAGGATATGTACAATTAGTCAAAGTCTAGTTTCCAGGAGAGTCGTTGGTGATTACACAAATACATCGGTTTGTGCTCTCCTTTAACTGCCATTCCATCATTATTTTCGACCACTGGCTATCATCCCTTCTTGCCAAGCCCGCTGACTTTTCTTAATCGGAAATATGATGTCTCTAACTTTCCTATGTTCTCAGATACATGTCTTCTCCTCCCTGTCTCCGTGCTCTTAAGGGAAAAGTGAACGGTGTTAAGGATCAGCGGAAGGAGGAGGCCCAAGTTTGCGTGCCGCATTACGCGAGCAGTTTTGGTGTCTTTGAGCTCCCTCTCGCTGTCATGGTGGGCGACATCTATGAAGGAAAATCCCACAGACTCCTCGATGGTGGAGGAGAAGGAGGAGGCAAACACGCAGATGGAAATAACAGCGACATCGACAATGATAACGATTATGATGGCGGCGGCGGTGGTGGTGATGACGACTTTATGAAAGAGATGTCTCGATACCAGGCAGCGAAATCTGCGGCAGCGCAAGAAGTAGCAACAGGTGAGATGCACGTGCCCAAACCTGGACAGCTTCCGCCCCCCTTAAGGCCATGACACGAGAGGGAAGGGCCCTTCAGCTGGCTGCCTGCGGGCCAGATATGGCCAGCGAAGGCTCTTGGAGTGTCCCGTTCAGAGATTTGGCTCACTGAGACGTAATGAGATGCAGGTTGTTGAGATTAATGAGAGATAAAAAAAGACAGAGATGGGGACAGCTTTTAGAGAAGAGAGAGATGAGTGAGCTGAGAGATAAATAAGAGATGAAACACCTGGAGAAAAGAGGGTATAGATTAGTGCTCGCGTACTGGTGTTATGACAAGATTGATGCCATGTATCATAACGTCTGTACAGGTGACACTTATGTTAAGACATCACGTGACATAAGGTCATGTGGTCCGCCAGCACACGCTAGTTTTATTACGTGACCCGCTAGAAAATATAAAGTACCCTGCAAGATGCAAGAGGGCAATTTTATGGTAATCGTCACGAGCAACACATTTTTAAGTAAATGACATGTGCACAGTCCTACCTAGGTCATATCCATCCAGTTTAGAGAAAGTGTCCATTGGGATCCACCATCAACGTCACAGGGACCAGCGTGTTGGGAGTCCTCTTCCGATTTGCACTCAATTTGACTGACAACGACAACGTCTATATTATAAAGGAGCTGTGTAAAACTAACTGGGAGAGCGTTGTCATGAATTTGTCCGCGGTTCCTTGGACGCAGAGGCGTTGGGAAGGTGTCGAGCGTTTGCTGTCGCGACGGCGCCACGTGGGGCGCTCACGGCGAGAGGAAGGGTCATGGCTCGCGGGCGCGGTGGGGTCCGTGGCGGCGGGACCTTCGTCCGTCGCGGGGCGGCCGATCCGCAACACGTAAGATCTTTGCGTGGCCCTTGCACACATTGCTGAAGGACCAGACACGAGCAGGAAGGTTGCCAGGCAGCGAGCCGACGCTAATTGCTCTGCAGCTCTCTACAGTTCTCTACATATTGAGATGTAGATGTTTTCAGCCAATTGGTTAGTGTGCACAAGATACGTGTGGGAGCAAACCGGAGCACCTGGAAAAAAACCCAAGCGTGCGAGGGGGCAACACTCTTATCCTATACATAAGGGACAGATGATATCACGCCACACTTTGCTGTACTGCATTCTGCTGGCAAGCCAGGGTATTGCATCTCGATGCCCACGGGAAGGGACGTCGCGCAACATTTTGTCATTTGTGCGGCAATCCACCAACCCTCACTGCCGCCTCCACACTGCAGGATTACAGGCCACGTGCATAGCGACCACTGCTCGGCGGTCGGCGTTTATCCCACCTCATGTAAAGGATGTACATTTAATACCTCTTTTTTTATACATTTCCCTTCCCCCACAAGTTCCATCGGCCCCTGCAAAATAATCCCGCCGAGAAGAAGCAGAAAAAAAAGAACAAAAACAAGAAAGCATTGCCTCCAAAACCGAAACCGAAATACGCCTGCAAGTTTTACTTGGAAGGACGATGTACCAAGGTACGTCAAACATCCGTCTTTGGCTATTTTTACCATCTTTATTTAAGCCATCATCGTCAGATATGAACTATCCATTGTTGAATGAAGGCCTCCCCAAGCCGACGCCATCTCTCAGTCTTGCGATACAATTAATCCAGCTTTCTGTGCGTCAGCTGATCTCGTGGCTCCATCTCCACGGCGGATGTCCTGTTGGGTTACTGCGAGATAATATACAGCCGAGAGAAATGTAATTAAATGTAATTCATGGTTCTCTCATCTGCAAGTATAGTGAGATATTCTTCCTCACATACGTGCCGGTTCTTTGTACCTCATCGGTGGCGACCCCAGTGAAGGAGGTGGTGCGGTGCGTGGTGCGTGCAGGGCGACGAGTGTACGTTCAGCCACGAGGGCATGCCGGCCAACAAGAGGGAGATCTGCAAGTTCTACCTCAACAGCTTCTGCTCCAAAGGCTCCAGCTGCCTCTACATGCACAATATCCTTATCGCTCAGTGGCGATCTCAGCGGCTGAAGCGTCGCAGTCGCTGGGATTCCAGTAAGATGCAGGAAATTGTACCGCTCGCGACGCTTCGATGTGGTTTCACCTGCTTAAGTAATTCGGAAGTATTTTTTTTTTTATTTGGACTGTGACGCTGGCGCACTTGGCCTACTCTCTGAACGTGAGTGGCTCTCTGTATGAACCTCCGCTGTGAAGCGGAAAGCACGTATTCAAGACGAATGCAAAAAGTTAACCAGGGTGGCTGTTGGGTTTGAACCACGAACGTCTGCAATAAGCGATGAATGCGCTACCTCTAGACCATGATAAGGAAGTGCTGATGTAACGAGGTGTATGCAAATGACACGTTAACGTTTCATTCAGGCTAATGGAGCAAAAACTTCACAAAGGAGACGGGCGGGAAGGGGGGGGGGGAAATTAGATGATAAAACGAGGCTGAGAAGAATTGATTCTTAAAACGAATTGTGACCCCGAATCGTGGCGAATCACTACAGGGCGACCGATTAAGTGGCCCGTGGGCGTTAGCCACTCCGAAGTGGATGTGCGCAGTGTTAACCAGGGCGGCCGCTCGATACGAACCACACTCGTCTGTACACAAGCAGCGGACGCGCGACCGCTGGATCATGCCACCAGTCCCCCACGAACCGTGAACCCGCGGCTGCTCCTTGACTGGCGGGAGGCCCAACGCGACTTCCCTTGCAAATTCTACCACACGGGCACGACGTGCTACGCCGGGGACCGCTGCCGCTTCTCGCACGCGGCCCTCACCGATGAGACCAAGGAGCTCCTGCAGAAGGTGGGCACCAGTGGCATTTGCTATCGAGAGTGCAGGCGGTGCAGCTGCACCCCACAGGCCAGAGGGGCCCAGGGAACCAGGTGCCGGGTTATAAAGAGGGGGTAAGAAATTGGACAGGGGCCCCATTTCATTGCTTGCACCACGACCCTTGCCAACCCCTGTCCGCGATATTCGCGACGGTAAAACTGCCTTGATTCTTGAATCAACTAGGTGACCCCGAGTAATGACAATTTATCGATTCGCTGTGGGCTAATCGTTCATTAATCATCGCATGCCTATGTCTTCGTTTGAATGTGTGATTAACAGTGTCTGAATGGACCCAAGGAGACCAAAGAGAAGGAAGAGAAGGAAGAGGTTCCTGACAGGTCAGCCCCAGTTTACAATCATCGATAGCTCAGTTTTAGTCATAGGTACTCACGCCTGGGTTTTCACCCAGGATCTCGGCAGTGCCAGCTCAGCACTCTAACGTCTGAGCCACCTCATCACCACCTTTTGCCCCAACATTTCACCGAGGATGTATTTTCCGGTTGTGCCGCGTGATGTTAGGCACCGTGTTGTTTGGCATTTCGCTCCGCGATTTGAAGCTCGCAACATTTGGGGGGCGAAACATTGGCCATGGGCCCGAAAACACGTCGGAGAGCTATTGAGCACCACGGATGACAACCTGCTCGGTTTAAAGTATAAGCTCTGTCTGACTGTATACAAGTGCCTAGATGGTATGTCACCCCGTTATTTGTCGGATTTATGCACGCCTGTCGCCGATGATCGTAAATGACAAGGCCGCAGGTCGTCTGCTGCTCGTGGTCTCGTCGTTGTTGCTACACGAACCCCGCCGAGAGACGCGTGGCGACTCCGCGCTTTTCAGAAGGCGCGGGGACCTCCTGTCGCGTGGAATTCTCTACCCAACAAACTCAAGAACAAAAACTTTGAGAGACCTTAAAATTAATTTAATGAATACAGCTGACGAGACTGCAATGCGCATACGAGATGCTTTGAGCGTGATTTTCAGTCTTTTAAATCGCTATTTACATTACATTTACAGTAAGCTGTGTCACACTCACACAAACTCTCCACGCCCCTCCAGCCCAAAATTCTATTTCAGCCTTGCGGCTTCGAAGGGCACCGAGGGCACGGCGCTGGCGCACGGTGGGGACGGCACAATTCCTGGCGTCACCGGGCCACAAGCTTCCCCGGGGTTCACCGCTTTACAGCAACAGCAGCCGTCGTCATTGCAGATGCACCGCGACAAGCAGTCGGCGACGGGAATGCCGGGCGCCTGTGAAAATCTCCCGTCGCCGGCAGCACTGGCTGTGCTCCAAGAGCAGCCCGTGGTCATCCCGACCGAGCCGGTGCACAGCTCGGCCACTTGGGACCCCCGCTTGGTGAGATCCGGCCAGCATTTCTGCCCGGATCCGGATTTGTCCGTGCCAGATTTCGCTCGATTCATGAACTGGGAACCTTTGGGCGGCAACGAGATGGCGAACGAGGCAGGATTTTCCGAGTCGATGGACGCGTTTTCCTCCGCCACTTCGGATCGGGAGAGGCCCTCCATCGCAGGGAGTTTATTGGACCGCAGCGTCTCTTCTTGTGGTCCTTTGGCACATCACGGGGCCGTCCACAACCTGCCTGTTCAGCCGGTGCTCGGTGTGCTGACGAAGACCAAGTACAGCGGGGTGTTCGGCGAACGTCCCCGCCAGATTAAAGCACCCGCATTAAAGCATCCGCAGCAGCACGGACTGCTGCTGCAAATAAGTACAGCACAGACTGCTGCTGCTGCTGCTTCTACTTGTACCGTCACCAACGCCACAACCACGGGCACCATCACCAACGCCACCACAACCACTGCACGGTCACTGGAGGGAGGCTTTGGTGACGGTGGGCGCCAACAAAACCTGGTAGACGTGTTTAAATCGTTTGACCCGACATCGTCACCGTTTTGTTAGCAGGAGCCAGATGTCGCAGCTGCTTTGCGCAAAGTGTAATGATGTTGGTTTTTCTTTGCGCTCTCCAAGTGCGTTTTAATCAAAGTTAAATATATCATTTAAGTTTAATGTATTTGGTGATTTTGTAAGATGTACACGAGACGAATGTGAAATAAAAATGAAATACTTTAATTTAAAAAATAGGTTGATTTGCGTTACATTCACATTCCGTACATTTTCTGTCGAACAAGCTGCATTGTGTGGTCTTGGTCAGTCACGCCAGCGATCAATTTGACTACGCTTATAACTTTGGGTTAGCTGATTCGCATTTTGCAAGTATTGCACCGTATGAACAGTTTTGATTCGGGTAATGGTTAATATCACAAGATTTTGTCTCACCCACAGCAAGATACGACAATCGTGGTTGGCAGACGACGGTTTACCGACTGCGGTCAGAGGTCAATAGACTGAGCCACGAGCAGTAGACAGATTACATGCTGCAGCCAGTGGTATTTGTGACGAGTTTATTTTTGTTATGAAAAGGTATAATATTCAATCTGTAATATGCATACTTAGGCATCGACAGATTCATTAAAATCGATTGTTAAAATCGCAGTAATGCATCAAATTGTAAAAAAAGTGATTCTGTAAAAAGTAGGCTAATGGGCAGAATAATAATACCTGTACAAGTGAAATGGGTTGGGTGGAGGTAGGGGGGACTAATTGAAAATTAAAACCAAATTAATGTTTTATAAACTTAGACAACTGACTTGCTGGGGTGAAGGGGTGAATTGTCACATGCCTTAGAAATATTTAAGGGTCCCCGCTCTAGGGAAAAAAAAAAACTTAACCCCTGCTCCATTTGTCCAGAAAGTCGGGTTTTGTCATTGAGAGCATGGAGCATTAAGTTAATTGTTAAGTTCATTGTGTGCCCGTCTGCAGGGAGGGGATACAATACAAATATTAAAAGTTAAGAGTGCAGCAATGAAGCCATGGCAGGTTATCTCAATTGATTGAAATTAATTGGTTCATCAAGTTTTTCCAGGACACCCACCTCATACATATCCCCACATGTACTGATTTGTACATGTGTTTTTATATTAATAGCACGAGTGTTAATTTACAGGAGAAGCGTTTAAGATTAACCTGTAACTTTGAGTTTTCAATATAATTTAAAAGTGAAATCTTGTTGCTGAAGATATGCTTCCTGCTATTGGTATGCGTTGCCATCGTCTTCAAGTCAACGTCGTTAAGTTATTGTTTTTTTATGACAGCCATGGCAGGACATCTGCCCTCAGTATTGACAATTTGAACAGAGAATGTGGTTCATTAATAAACGTTTTGCACCAATTTGAACGCTTGTGCGTGAGATGCACTACTTGTTACCAGACGTGTACATTTAAGTTGCTTTGACACTTTCCTTCATCATAAACTTCACATGTGAGGGTATGTGTAGGTGTGTGTTTGTGTGTGGCCGGCCAAAGGTATTTGAAAGTCTTATTTGGCTACTAATTGTTTTTTTCGGTAAAGTCACGTATGTAGAAATACAATAAAATTATATTAAAACAAAAAACAATCACGACGTTTCGATCACAACGCAAGCGATCTTCATCAGGTGTCAGGAACAAATCACGGAGGTAAATACAACAAAAAGATGAGAGACGAGAATTCAATAAACCTGAAAAAACATTATGTGAAGCACATCCAGTCAGGCCAACAACACAGTTAGACACTTCCTGGCGGACCACTAATTTCAGAAGAGTGTTAAATTTCGTGTTCAACCTTTGGATTGCACATACCAGCATAGATAGAATGAAAAATACGAGGTACACAGTCAGTAGAAATACATATACAAGTCCCTCCTTACCTCTTGGTGGACTTGTATATGTATTTCTACTGACCGTGTACCTCGTATTTTTCATTCTATCTATGCTGGTATGTGCAACCCAAAGGTTGAACACGAAATTTAACACTTCTGAAATTCGTGGTCCGCCAGGAAGTGTCTAACTGTGTTGTTGGCCTGACTGGATGTGCTTCATATAATATTTTTTCAGGTTTGTTGAATTCTCGTCTCTCATCTTTTTGTTGTATTTACCTCCGTGATTTGTTCTTGACACCTGATAAAGATCGCTTGCGTTGTGATCGAAACGTCGTGATTGTTTTTTGTTTTAATATAATTTTATTGTATTTCTACATACGTGACTTTACCGAAAAAACCAATGAGTAATTTTATGCAGTCACGAAAGCTTAATACTTTTTATTTGGCTGTCATTTGGGAAAAGGATCCCACCCCCGCCCCTGGTCTGTAAGAGCTAGCCATATTTGATTCATAACTATCCAACACAACGACCTCTAAGTCCTCAGGGACCCACAACAGCCATCTTTGGAGACCTGCCTTTGAAACGACGCAAGGTGTGCGCACAACCGTCTGTACGTTACCTGCATTCACACGACAGCGAAACACTCCTCCGTAAGACTCGGCCGATATTGAAAAAGTACAGCGACGGACATTCCTGGAGGCTGCGAGTTCTCAACCAGTGCAGTAAGATACAAGCTTGGGAACAAGTGCGCAATTTAACAAATGAAATACGGTCAAGTAAAGCGTCGGCCACCATGCTCGCTGCAGCATACCGATTCAGAAGGTGATTTTAACAGTTGATGGTGTAAATGGCAACCGTTGTTACTGCTTTGGGTTTAAAAAGAACGAAAATAGGCTTTTGTAGCCATTGTCTCCTAGCCTGTCCCACACAAGCTTGAAGCTTGGTGAATAAAAAAAACTTTAAAGTTACACTCGAGTGCGCCGCCAACACAGTACGCTCTGGTGACAGCAGCAGAATGCTCGAGGCTTTAAAGTGTTTCCTGATCGAGGTGACCAGGTTTCATGCACTGATGCAGCTCCGCTGAGATCCTGTATTCAAATCAGATTCTCAGCTGCCTCTGCTTAACCTGGGATTCTTACGTGTAGTGAGTTAATGGTCTCAACCCTGGCCATAAAGGACTGAACAAAAAATATTGATTTTGGTATTACACGTGACTAAATTCCAGTTATGAGAATTGTAAATATTGGATTGGCTATCGTGCAACAAATCTCCGTATAGCAGGGTGGGTGGAAAAATGCTGCCCCCTAGTGTGACTAAGAGGTCCCTGGAGTTTTCAAAAGCAGTTCTGTGGCATTTACTTCTGTGGACCATTCTTTAACACGGGGTGGTGCGCTGCATCGCTCGAGTTCCAAGTGGATTCTTCATTTCACGGTGCATTACCAATAATACAATAGGGATAATATTCGGTAGCAAGATTAAGATAACTGGTATTTTCTCATTTAAATAAAGGACCAACTTCATGTTGGATGGTTGAGGGCACAGCCTACGCACACATCTACAAAATAAGAGCCATTAGTTTTTGGGTTTGCATCTTAAGTGCTGATTTGAAGGGTTTAAATAACCAACAACTATTTCATACCATAGGAACAAGTCTGAAGTGTTAAAGGACAAGCCAGCTAGTCAATTCCCATAATCAGTACTATCACCTGAGAATCTAAAGAGCTTACTAACTTTCATTTAGTGACTTTTAAGTAAGCAACGCTGAACCCTATTAATACAAACACACGTGTAAATAACCTGAGATAAATGCCAAGACATTCAGATTAAATACTAACTCAAAAAAACGACAAAATGTAAGCACTCGGCAAAAAAGTGCAGCTTCACTCCAAGTGCAGTGGATAAGCAATCTCAAAATAACGTTCAGGTGAGAAACTAAAGCTCAAACAAGTAAACGATACCAGGCCAACTTAATAACAATTCAAACATTTCCATGGGGAACAACTTTTAAACTAAACTATTTTTTTTATCTAACCAGGTACGGCCCACTTGCTAGAAATTCGGTTTCTAAAATATTTTAAGGGGGTCTTACAGATACATTTTTCACAGCCGACTGTGATCCAAGTTTTATGGCGAAAGCTTTGAGAGAACAATTGCTCAACACAAAGCCCAATGAGGAAAAACCACTTCGGTTAGTGGTTATTTATAGTCCATGGGAAGAACTGAAATCGGTACCACTTAAGGTAGAAAAACTTTAAGAGTACCGATTGAGTTATATGGCTAATAAGAGTAAATGTTTGATAACCCAATTGTCTTGAGTGGTTATCACAACATTTACAGTTGAGCCACCTCATGTGGTACCGACAAAGTGAAATATTTGGTTTGGACTCATGGACTACTAACAGGTGTGTCCATCTGCGATCTGGAGAGGGTGGTTATGGTGAACATCTTTGCAGTGGCAGCAGCAGCATGAGATTCAGAACGAGGAAGCACGTTTTAAATAAATTACGTTAGTGAAATTGACGCTGCTCATTGCTGCTGGCCAAGAAGGTGACTGTGAACACCACTGGACTATGGCTCTAAACAGGTCCAGTGAGGTTGATCAGCAAGCCCCAAATAAGCCACTTTCCCTGCAAATAAACGTTATTTCTATATAGCGTTCTTCACTTTCTTACCACACCCAGTGCACATCACCACTCTTCTGCCCTATTACCTGTTTCACAATGCCCCTGATAGCCTTCGCTGTTATTTAACCCAGGGTTCCCCAACCGGACCAGTACCCGTCCGTGGCCTGTTAGGAACCGGGCCGCACAGCAGGAGGTGAGCGGTGAGTCCGCGCGTGGCCCGCCCATTATTTTATTATTTACCACTTCTGTCCGTGCCTCTTTCCCGCACTGCGCACTTGTCACAGTTTTGGTTAAGCCCACAAGCTAACCCTAGCCAAAATGAGTAAAAAACAAACGGCGCTGGAGAGGTTGGAGACCGCTGATTTAACCAACACTGGGGATGCAATGGACTGTCCTGCTCTCTCTATAGGTCAACAAAGTGGAGCAGGAAGTACGTGATTGCCGGGTCCTCGAGATGACGCGGGGAGGTGCGTGGTTGCGTTGGGAACCGCTTCAGCTCATCAGCAGTGTGGAATCACCGGACCGAGATGACACTGATATCAGGCGTTCCAGGTCCTGCTGTACTCTGCGGTCCTGGTTTTGAAAAAAGGATGTTATGAAGGCTGCTCCAGCCTTGATTTAATGGGTTCAGAAGAACGAGCGATGATTTTGTCCTAATTGGCTGCGCGTACTGCATTACACAGCACATTATAACAATTTACAGCCCCCCTTCGTTGAATTACTCAAAAAACCTGGGAATTGTACACTAACCGCACTACCGCCAAACCACCCATTAGCACAACAAATGTGAGCATTCAGGCTTGGTTAATAAAGTAAAAGTATTCATTTAAAGCCCATTGTTATTGTACCGCTGGATGAAGGCCTCCTCAGAAAGGGGGTCCAGGACCGGTTGAGATATCACTCGCCACTGATGCTAGCCAGGTTCACAGTGCCACTGCTCCCCCCAAGGATTACTTACACGATATATATAAAGCACACTGCTATATCAGAATTATTCACACAAGCAGGGGGGTTACCTGGGCAGTCAGAGCGGGCAGCTTCTGAGCAGACGCAGTCCACCTCTGCAGCTCCTCCTGCAGACCTAGTGAAGCGCAACACTGCCGGCGACAGGAGGACAGACAGCAGCGGGGATTAGGAGGGGGAGAGGGGGGAGAGGAAGAAGGAGGAGAGAGCGAGCAGCAAGGAGGAGAGGACAAAGCAGGGAGAGGGAAAGAGCGCAGAGACAGGAAGAGAGGAATTCCAGTCAGCGGTAATATTTACATTTTCTATTTCCACTTTTTTGCATTTGTTACCAGTTTGATTTAACATCATAATATTTCATCTTGTGATGTAACCCAGGTCCACTTGGGGAACAAGACCTTCTTTAAATGTCTGGCTTAATGGGTTGCTTCCATCTCTTGGTGAAATAAAGACTGGATTTGATAAATAAATTTCACCACGAAGTAATGCGACAACTCAACACCAGAAAGTGCAGCACAGCAGGCACAGCAGGCTGAACGTGCGCTCACCTTTACGATGAACACCTGGTTGGCCTTGGAGAAGTTCGGCTGGAGTTCTTCAGCCTGACGTTCAAAGAGCAATCACAAAAGGCAGGTTAACAACATGTAAAAATGTAACGGTATGACAGTGCTGGTTCATCGAACTCCATCATCATCAGCAGAAGCCATTATCTATGCACTGCTTGATGAAGGCGTCCCGACGCCATCCCCTCTCTCTCATGGTTACAAACTAAACGTGTGCGAAGGTGGAAGCCACATGATGAAGCCTCTGATATACACAAACTCGAACCTTAACCCAAACCTCGACTCTATTCCTGAGATCAGAACAGAGACCACCAACTGCAAACATTTGTTTTAGTGATACACTGGAGTTAAAAGACAAATAGGGTATCGTAGTTTTGATATTCCACGACGCAAACATAATGAAATATCACTCAACACATATGTACATCCAAGTTGTTTTGTACAATTGTATGATCGCATACACTGCAGATACAAAACTGATAGTGAGCTTAACAATCAACTTAAACCAATAAATCGCTCCACTGTTACATGCATTCTATTACCATTGTTCCAAACGTTGCCCCGATGTGGACAGACCACAGTAAGACAACTCCTAGAGTTTAGCGATCATGAAAGAAACAGGGATCATCAGACCTTAAGGAAATACTGAAGAGCTTCATTCACAGAGGACGTTGGGTAATCCTTGAAGATGCTGTTGCAAACTCGCCTCTCAATCCACGTCAAGTTGGCCATCTGATGGAAAGAACGGAGACGTTGGCGGAGGGGAAATCGAGCGAAATAGAGAGATGGACAGAATGTTGAAGGGAATTTGAACAATAATCTACACGGTGCCGTAACAGTCAGGAGCTATACATCAGTACGGTATAAATCAGTACGGTATAACTCATTGCAGACGCTGAAACTGTTAACCATGTGCCTGGAAAACAACGTGTCGCACAGGGTGCTTGAACGTTCCTCAATACGCCCACATTGATCGCAGCACACTCGGCTTGGATTTCCACCAATATAGGCAGCGTGGTTTTGAGCTCGCTATGGTTCCTGAATTCTGCTGCACCCAGTACTGTATTTCAATCAGCAAAGGTCAGTTTGGCTGCAAATGCAGAATGATGGAGACATAGATCATGCAGGCCCCTGGCTTTCAAACACATATGACTAAACTCACCAACCTGTGAACTCCTCTTTCCATGAACGGCCAAATTAAGTTTACTTAAATATCCTCGAGCTGGTCTGATTTCCCCCAGAACTTGAGTTTACGGGGCAACTTGGTTTGATTAACAAAGCACTGGTGCCTCCCATGATTTTCCGAATTGGTTAACCTGCACACAGTCTCACTTGTTCTGCCCTTGCAAGCATCCCCACCAAGTCGGCCAATGTTGATTAATGTCGCTGCCGTGTGAACCGTAAAAAATACGCGCCGGTGCGACCTACTTAATAACGGACGCGAAAGATCCCGTGACGTTATTTGCCAGAGTAGGCCACTGTGTGTCGGCGTCATGGTCCAAATCGACCGAGAGTTGAAAAAAAGAAAGACCCGCAAATGACTCAATCGGAATGTACACAGCAACCATCGCTCCTCCTGCAAAAACTTGGCAGGACCCTCCTGAACGAGTTATGAGACTCGGTGAGGCTTTCCTGGGTAAACAAGCACAATGTAAAAAAATATAATTACACTTTTGTGCTCTTATCTGCGAGGTGTGCGAGCCCGTCACTCACTGCAAAGCCCCAGCGTCCAAGCAGGTGCAGCATTTCGGGGTCCGAGGGGTTGGTGGCCAGAGTCTGCTCCAGGTGCCTCTGGAGTAAGAGCAGCAAAGAAAGCAGATAACACAGCCTGTTCTGAAGAATGCGTTATGGAAAAAAAATCGTGTTATAATAAATAATATAGGATAAAGCACAGTCGGTGATAGCACGTGAGATGCATATGCAGGCTGAACAAAGACAGAGGTGCGTGGGTAGCATTTGTAAGCATCCATCAGCATCCCGCCTTGTGCGATGATGCTATGCCGAAGCAGCCGCACAACCGCTTACTCCTATTCGTGTGACGTAGTTCCGTTCACTTGATCGCGTTATATACAATTCGCGTTATGAAAACAGGCCTTCTAGGAGAGCAGACCGTAATCATACTTTCAACTTGCAACACGCACAGTGTTCGCTCGCTCTCAAAGAGACAAAACGACTCGGAGGCGGAAGGAACCACAAACAAGCGGGAAAAGGCAGCCAGGCTCTAAGTCGGCACCAAATTCCCCGCAAGCTCAACTACGGTCCTCTATATATAAAGGCGTTATCGGCAAATTAATCAGTGTTTGCATGGATGAGGAAATCAGAGCACCCGGAGTAAAGCCACACCTGCGAGGGGACAACACTATTCCGTACTGATGGGGAATAGGTGAAGACCACATTTGCCGTTCCACCATCTCTTAACAAGCCAGGGTATGGCTAGCATCAGAGGAGTTTGTTGACTGCACTGGATGAATGATGGACGTCCTAGTATCTCCGCTTTCTCGCTTTCGAATCGGACAAGCCCACTGCATGGCCAATGAGGCCAGATGAGGCATCAACCCAAACTTTACCTGTGGACAGGGGGCAGACTGTGATGCATATTGTGGAGGATTTTCCTCTGAGCAGACGAGATGGAGGATTAGGAGCACTGAACGCCACAGAAATGATAATGCCGCTGTCGACTTGATCGGACAAATATGCACAGGCTGAAGAACCGGAGGAAATGGCTCTTCTTGAGAACAAAGAACGCTTTGCTGCACACACCTTAACAGAAAAGCTGTTTCTCATCTGGTGCTGAGTCGTCTGTAATTCCCACAGATAGTCCAAGCAAATGATAGCAAACCTGTACACTCAGACGCGGAAAGGCAGCCAATAGTAAACTTTACATGTTTTATTGCTATAACTGCAGAGCAATAAACCCTGACCTCCTCACCACTCACCTTAGAACCAACAGCAATCAAGCATTTGCAACCAGTCTCACCATTTGCGGCATTCCCTGATGCAACTTCTCCACTTGAGGCCCTTTTCTGCTGACTCTTTGCCTAAATGACATGAACAGCTTTATTGGAAGAGCTTCTGTTGTGTTTTTTTCCAGAGCTTTCGCAGAGTACTTCAACATGATGTGTTAAAAGGAGACACAGAAGTAGATATCACAGAACTACTTCTAGGATCCCGTCAAGAGACCTTTTATTCACTCTAGGGGTTCTACACTTTCTTATGCACGTTGATATATATATGTCCATCGCATGAAAGTCTCAGCAAACTTTTTTTCATTCTCATAGCTGTAATTTATTTAAAAATAAATGATACAACTTATTTAAAACTATGCATTTTTTGGGGCATTGATGACCAGGCTGACACCATCAACTCAGTACATTTGACAAACCAGGCTAAACATGGGTAGCTGAATCCCAGAATCAAACCCAGGATATCAAGCGTATTGGTTCCGTGCTCTGACCCTGTGCTACCTGGCCACCTCTATCTTATGCTTTGCTTTAAAAACGAGAAGCAGGAAAGTCATCGCGTGCATAACAAAGACACCTCTTGCATAAATCGTAGGAAAGAAACGCGCTTCATTGCTTTTTTTTTGACTGCAGGGCATTTTCCACACACCGACTACAGAGGAGTTCGTTCCTTAGCAATTCATAAATCGTGTGCGCTCGTGGCTTACCGGTGAGCGCGTGTATCAGCCGCTCAGATTTGTCCTCGGTAATTTCACACATATCCCCGAAGGCACGAGCCATCCGCCACCAAAACGCTCCGCGCCTGGCAAACTGTGGCACGACACACAGGCATAGTCGTGCTAGGAACACTGATCGATTTGTATACCTTTCCTATACATTTCACTCCTATCGTGTATTGTTGTACTGCTTGTTGTTGTAACGTTCTGACCTGCCCCTACTGGACATCTGTGAAGAGCTTTATAACTCATCGGATATCTCCAGTATAAATCAATAATCTGATTCTGATTCCCCCCCACCCCCCCCCCCCCCCCCCCGGCTTCTGCGATTCACGATCCGCTACGATTCGCAGTAACGTTTCATTTCAAGAATAAATTATTTTTCCGCGTGGTGCACGAATGTAGAAGCTCGCTTGCAGTGGTTAATTACTGCATCACTGCATTATACCAGAAAAGTTTGGAGGATACGAGACACGTTACCGATTGGCACTTACTTTGGAAATCTTTCCCAGCGACTTCGCATAACCTCGCACAATCAAGAAAATAATTCGTTCTTATCTGCTATCATTAATGGCCATGGTGGCTATTATTTTATGACTTTTGACAAGAGCACAGCACCAGATTTGGATATAATTACATCATCCGCACCCATCTCCTGCCGGCGCTGTTATCTTTCCCAGTAAATCCGCATGCAGATTGGACGCTGAAAAAAAAAGTGGCTGCCACCAGACTTTGAACGATGTGCGGGCTGTATAATTAGGCTTGTTGATATCTGTGGACAGAACTACAGAACAAAAAATATGTTTTAACGTCAGCATTGAAATGACGCCCCGCTGCCCGTATCCATGCTGGGATTGTGTGCCAGTCCCCCACCTTGTTCTGACCGCAGATGAGAGCATTTAAAGCCTCGTTCCAGCTTCCTGGGCCCGCCGCATGCAGCCTGTCTGCTCGCTGCACCAGCTCCTCAAACTCCTCGTCAAAACACACCTCCTCCTCCTCCTCCAGCAGTATCATCGGCCGGCCTATGTCAGTCACAGCCACGTAATTAGCATCCTATTAGTAGCAAAGCCGAGTAATGTTTTTTCAATCCACTGCTAAATGGAGGGGTTTCCCCGCATCACGTGTGTCGTGTTATTTGATCATACGTCACCTTGACGGTCAGCACATGCGGGAAGCAAAGGCACGCATAGGCTTGGAAGCAAAGGAGTACAGTACAAAAATGTATTCATGCGATGCCTTTTATGTTTCTTTCCTTTACAAACTCTCAATGACCAGTGTGGTGAAGTATGAGAATCTCCTCCAAAGCTGGACTGACAAATGGGCTGAACGTGTACATAGTGGTTGTTATTCGAGCAGATGCTTAACGAGTGAGCACTACCCGTTCATACCTGGGCCATCCACTGTGTCGCCGAATTCATCTTCTGAATCACTGCTGTTAAAGCCAACATGCAGAAAGGAAAACACGCATCAGCAAACACACGCGCACAATTCAAAAAATGCAGGATGGCACTCACAAAAACTGAAACTTAAGCGACTCCGTTGGCAATGGTGTACCAATACAAAGTAAAACAGTTAGGACAAAATCATGCATCTGCATGGATTATGGAACGCTTTCAAACACACGTTTGTTTTCGTAAATGATTTAACTAGGGGTCTGGAAGCTGACTTGTAGCTGTCAGGGCAAATCCTGTTTGTATTGTATCTAGTATTTGCCAAGACATGTTTGTTCTGTGTTTGTCTCCAAGTTTTGGGAAAACTTTGTCAATTTGGCTATTTTCGATTGAATAAGTCCCAAATAATAACACAGGTTTACACGACAAATGAATTAATATCGAATCCTTTTTGCAACAGCTGCAGTGCACTGTCATTATGGACAGATGCACAGATAACTATAGTAATACACAAACGTGTTCAACCTTAAATGGAAAGTGTAAAAACCGTAGCACATTCATCATTGACACTGGGATTATGTTTTACCAACTTATATGGCAAGGTACTGTAACACAGGATTTTATTATCGACTTCTAGGCCACAATGTATGCTTCAGTAAGTAATGAAAATGAGGTTAAAGTGTGCCGTTTGCATTAATGAAATGTGTGTTTTTATAAAATTGAGAGTAAACTTTGTGAAGTAAATGTCTTGCACTTACCAAAATTGAAAATACCGCAAATGGAATATTTCAGTCATCGTTTAATGATGTGTAAAATAAGTGTCAACAACACACATGATTTGTTTGTGTTGAAAATTAAATATTCGAACACTAAATAGTCAAGAGTACTGTCAAAACGCACACATTTCTAAAAAGCCATTATATTTTAAAAGGCTGGGTATCCAGAAAAGATTTGGCAGTTGCTCTGTCATGACTTGTCAAATGTATTTAATATTAAAAGTATTTTTTTTCTATCATAAAATAGGAAAACAGCTTAATGATGTCCTGTGTTACTGGTGCGTTGATCCAAGTAATTGTTGCAATTCAGGGTCCTGATTTCAGTCAAGAATAAATATTTTTTCTTTCAACTTTGCAGTGATTGTAGTGGCCATTAGTGGCTGCAGGGTCACATAAACGCATAAGACACCAAATATAAATAAGTAATACATAATTTCCAGCCCTTTGTCAATCCACTTCTGGATGAAGGTCTTCCCAGGACCGGTTCAGATATCACTTGTCACTGATGTTAGCTGCCATGACCCGGAATTGAACTTGGATTGGTGAGTTCATAGCACAAGGCTCTCACCACTGCACCACCACAACACCCCCATATAAAATATGTGCATATATCATGAGCTTAAGAATCAACATTAATTGATGAATCGGTGCATCATTACACCCCTAATACGGTACTGCAGTAAACATGAGCACGATATGTTCTTTACAGATTCGTATTTACACAACGGAGAAATGTATTTTCATAAATATCAATGATCAGTTTAAACATGAACATAGTGTAAATGATGTCTTTGCATACAACTCAGCTCATACTCTCTGAATCTTGCAACTTTAATTTACCGACAAATGTTTAACCTACACAGTTGCAAAAGTCGTGTTTTAAATATCACAACGTGGTGAAGTATGTCTAAATAAGCCCTGCCAATTGAAAAAAAAGTCCTCATCCAGCAGTGGGATTGGCAAAAGGGCTATGCATAATGAAACATTTAACACACATTATCACGTGCATTTCTTTGATCAATACTGTAACTTTGAGTTCCCACAAATTATACTTATTTTTATGTACAGTATTCCACTGGGATTTGATTTAAAATAAAAAAAATGTCTATGAGAGCACAGCCACTCCATTGCTATAATCGGTACGAGTGCAACTTGATAAAATTGCAGGAGCAAGCTTCTATTTATAATTCTCTGAGTTCATAAGCCAGCCACATTTGACACGGCCCAGAATGGTCCGCTTATGACCGCATCTTCGAGATGCACTCGATTTTTTTTAGTTCTCGGAAGCTAAGCAGGTATTTCACCTGGATAATGCTTGGGATAGGTGACCAACATGCTGAAAATAGCATTGAAGGCTGTCGAATGGCTGCACCCTTCAATATCGCTCTCTGCTACGCTTTTGGACCTTTGCTCAGCAACGGTGATAAACAAAGCAGAGGGCAGTGTAGCAAAATCCAGTGTTGTAGATAACTATGGTACAACAATTAAGCTTCTCCCAACCTCTATTAACCTCTGTGGTAAAATATATGATCAAAGAATCCGCGCACCCCCCCCATGCATCACCCGCACAGCATGTGGAGGATATTATCCAGCATGTATGTTTACAATGGTGTGTTAAACTGGAAACCACTTGAATTAAAGTGGTGAGCATCGTATGCAGGTATTATACGAGTGATAAAGCAGGTGCCATGTAGTAGTGAACAGTGATGAGCAGAAACGCATCTTCATCAGCAGGTGCCGTCCTTGGTGTCGTTAGTGAATATTCAGGAAAAGTTATAAAGAGGAAGCACTGTTTGTGTTAGTTTTCCAAGTTCAGCAGCAAATTATTTCAGTCTCGTGTTCATCCTTAAGTCTTGATAATGATCCATTCATATCGGTTCTATGGCTCCTTAGGATTTTTTTTTCCTTTCGCTCCCATTGAATCCTAGCCACGGTCAAGAAGCGAAGCAAAGGGGGGAAAAAAGGGGTACGCCTTATGGGGAATCTGAGAGGAGTCTGCGAAGCGGAGAAAAGAGGAAGGAGATATGAAGGGAAAGTTAGCAGAGAAGACAAAAAAACAAACCTTTCAAGCGCCAACCATGCTGACATTCGTAAAAAAAACCGAAAGTCAAATTCCTCAGAAGTTGACTTATCGGGGCTTAATTTTAGCGACCTGTAAAATATTAAGACCGTACTTAAACCCGAGATGCCCCGGCATATCCACGATGAGCTTCTGATAGAACTAATCCAATTTACACACTGAACCCGAGAACCAGAAATATTAGTCCCGTTGCTTTTACCGGTGCGACTTGGCTATTGTAAACCTCTGGAGTGACAGTGCCGATCCCCCTCACACTAAACCATCAGACCTGCTCCACGGCGCTCCGACATAACCGCGATGAACTTCAAAGACTGAGCCCAAATTGCAGGTTTCCCCAATCTGCACCAACCTCCCCCAGCGGCCCTGTCACCCTGACCCCCCGTTCATCCCAGGACCCCCCTCGTCAACACCTCATCCCCTCGCCCCATCTGACCCCCACAATCTCCCCAATCGGCCCTGTCACCCTGACCCCCCGTTCATCCCAAGACCCCCCTCGTCAACACCTCATCCCCTCGCCCCATCTGACCCCCACAATCCCCGCAACCGGCCCTGTCACCCTGACCCCCCGTTCATCCCAAGACCCCCCTCGTCAACACCTCATCCCCTCGCCGCTCACCCCGAAGATGTCTCGCCGGGGCTGGCCGTGTGGAAGCTGCTGGTGGAGCTCGACGGGAGACCCCGACGGCGGCGGCGGACCGACCCGGCCGCCGCCGCCGCCGCCTCCTCCACTATGCCGGGCAACCCGTCTCGTAGCCGGCGCACGTCCGCCCGAGCCTCGTTCAGGCTGTCCGTCAGCGTCCCCAGCTGCTGCACCATCGCGTCGTGGCCGCGGGAGAGCTTCCATGTCGCCGACGTGGCGCTGCTGGCGGCGCCGTCAACGACGGCCGCCCGGGTGGAGGGCACTAGGTCCTGCGAGGCGCCGCCGGCCGACCCTCGCCTTCGTCGGTATAAAATCCAGACGAGACCGAGGCCGAGTCCTGCCACCGAGGCCCCCAGCAGGGCGCTCAGTGCGAGGCTCAATCTTCCCGGCCGCATCGCGCTTCGGTCGCTGATATCGCAATAATAAGAACGTTAAACAAAATATTAGCCGCACGATACCCGAGTCTCTTCTCGAGCACGCCCATAAACAGGTTTGTGTTTGTTGTTGTTGTTGAAAGTAGTGACTTAAGTAGATTTAGCGAGTCACAGTTGTTGGAGTTGCCGATGCCCTCAGCCCAACTCTGCTCTGACATTCACCCCCCCCACCCTGGGATTCGTTTGCAAGGTATTAATAATAATTAATAAGGGGATGTTTATACAGCAAGGGTTATTTTTAACGACACGATACTTTTAGAAATTAGTCACTGGCGTGCTAAATTTGTAAAAGCTTTTTAAGACGTAAGGTGTAATGCAAGGAACGCAATGAAAAAATAAAAATGGGAAGTGAAACGCGATCCAATTTTGTTTTTGCCTCCGGCCACGCCGATTTGTGCAGTTTGACTCGCGGTTTTGTTCACGCATATCGTTTCCGTCAAATTGCTTCGTTTAATAGTTAATAGCTAATTATTCTGTCGTTTGATTAATGCTATGTTTCATTCATAGTTTTGCTCGCACGTTATTTTGGGTAACTGTACATGGTGATCCGTTTACAGATACCCCAACTGAATTCGAATTGTTTTTTTAAAAATGTCTCGGTTGCAGAAAAGAACGCGCCAGCAATGTTGGGCAAAGTATATAACAAGTGTTGAACACATTTCACAAGTGTATTGAGATTGGTGGAAGACGTTGCTAGACCTTCACTTTATTTCAAAGTCTACAATTCTTGTTACGTGTATGGTACGTCTATGAATGGATCACTGCACTGTATCAAACTTACGGGGGATGGGAAGCGATTAGACTTCCTATTCTCGACTCACGGCTAACATCAGTGGTGAGTGGTATCTGAACTGGTGCCGTGGCTCCAACACATTCACCAACCCGCCTGGTAAAAGTATGGTAATTTTTAATTACTTAAATTATCGTTACAGTAATTCTTAACACAGATGCTGTTTTATAGCATTTAGCGATTCAAATGCTGTACCGTGCTATGTAAAAATCGATAATCCACAATAATTACTTAAAAGGATGCACAGTTCTGGGAGCACTGCAGTGCGTTAACGCCGTGAAGTACTGTAACAGTATCCGAATAAAAATTTGATTTAAAGCTTTCGTGACTGCAGGGATTCATATTCTTGTTTCTTTCGGTTAAAGTCACCACGTTGGAAGGGAAACAATAAAATAATAAAAACATAAAACAATAAAATTCTCACGACGTTTCGACCGCAACACAAGCAATCGTAATCAGGTGTGAAAACCACACGCGGAAAGAACCAAGAATAAGCATCCGAATTAATTAAAGCACGATATGTACCTAATTATCACGCTCGTGTCTTGTCTAGCAGTAGATAAATCCTGGCTGCCGATGATCACGACCGTGTTGACAAATCGACAGACGCGTACAGTCGACATAGCGAACGAAGAAATATCTCTTTATCTTGATTATTTTTAAATACCTTCAACGGTGCTGTTTGTGTCTGGCCGCGTGGGGCGTTAACGGTTTTTAAATGTTACAGTTGAAGCTCGCTGAGGATTTGTCAATGAACACGAACCATGAATGAATGAAACCGTTCGTGTCGAGGGGATCGTTTGTCCTTGTTTTTTGTATATTAATTGTAGCGAACGCCGGTTACTAATTATTATTATTGTATTATATGCATAAAAGGGAGATTTGTGAATATGTGCGTCTGTTCGAAATGTTCTGCATACTTCCCGACATGCAACAAACTTGAAATTTGGCACGTGGGTTAGCTTCCAGACTGTACACAATGCAACAATTTTAGAAATAGACTTTTGTATTTTTGACTTATGTATACATTTAGCACGGCAAGTGAGCGATCAAATAGTAACAGAATAGTAACAGAATAAACGTCGAATAATACAAACGTTAGGGTGCAATAACAAGACAAGGAATCGATTAATTAACTGAATCGTCAATAGGAATTTTATGTAGTGTATTGCAATGCGACGATTCAATTATATGTATGTTCGAAATTACGAATCGTTTATACATTTAAAATCTTGCTGCATGTAGCGGCCCCTAGTGGTTGCACATATTTTAAAAAACAGTTTATGCGAGCTCTTTCAAACCTGTTTATACCTTAGTCATCGATATTAATGATTGTATCGTTTCACACCCTACAAAGTTCACAACAGTTTGCTGTGAGCACACATGTTTTCAGTTTTCCTAATCACAATATTAACTTTATTACACAAATCAAGCCCCAATTAAGATAATTTCTATTCACGAATAACACCCCCCCCCTCCCCACCAAAAAAAAAAATTCACAATATAGTCACTGCTGTAAAATTAATTATTGGAATCAATCCCTGTTGATGATTCAGGCCATTTCGCCTGTGCGTATTAAATTAAACACGTGTCTATATGTGTATTGCAAATCCCGGCCAACGTCAGTATCAGGTGATATCTGAGCCAGTCCCTCACCAGCCCGCACATTTACCAGCGTGGTGAAGTATAGCTAAACAATTCCCATTACTACTAGCCAAGAATGTCTGTGTGTAACGCACGTGACGTCACTCCACATGCCACACCCCCCCTCATGAATATTCATGAGCGGGTGGATTTTTTTACACTCACGAAGAAGAAAATCGAGCGGAAATACAATTTTTTTCGCAAATTCGCTTTAAGTTTCACGTTTTTTTTATTGAAAGTGAATCTACATTTTTTTCTACGCAGCAACAAATTTGGTGTCTTTATTTATTTCTTTAGCACACGAGACAAAATGTAAGCATAATTTATGCTTCTACGTTATGGTAAAATAGACATTTCTCGGTGATTTTCCAGATATTGTATCGATTTCCAATTAATTTCAACCCGTGACCGAAATCAGAAGAGAATAAAGTATCAGAGCAGTGAATTTGAACAAATTGAAGGCCAGTTATATACATTGCTACAATGGAATGCAGTGAAGTGTTTGATGACGTACTTCTGTGCAAGATTCACTGCCATTAAATTTTACACAAGATACAATTATACTCTGTTAACATTTTTTTCGGTAATATTACAGCTTCCGTCCCAGGACGGGCAAAATGCTAGTACGCAATAAACTCCTGTATAACTATACAAAAAGGGCCTGCTCTTATACCGATTTGTTGTGTTTGTTTTACAAATATTGGCGTAGCTATCGAGTGTGCAGGCGGTACAACTGCACCATATGCCTACGGGCTGGAGGAGGGCCAGGGTGCTGTTACAAATGGGGTGGTGGTGGGAGGGAATGGGGACAAGGGGGGGCCTCATTTAATTCCTTGCACCAGGGCCCATGCCAACCACGTTCGATGCCACTGCTCCCAAAGCAGCGTTCTTGAAACATCGGAGTATAGTTACAACAATGGATATTGCTACATTGTCCTCTGCTGCCTTATTTGAATGTACGTTGAACTTCTTTCCGCACCGCACATAGCCAACCGTGCTAATCATCCTGTACTTTAAACATCATTTTTAAATTGAAAGTGGGTCTCCATTTAATTGTCTTACCTACTCTGATGTTCACTTTGTGCATGAAATTCTAATTTTATGCCCACCAGACGTTACCCACCCTTTATTATTGCAAGACGTACGTGAACTTGTGATAAATCACAAAAGTAGGTTGTGTTCTTATGTAATTACAGAAGGAGTTGCTGCAGCACTAAGGTTCACGCGGATAACACAATGTCGTCGACTTCTCTGAAGCACAAAATGTTCATCATGGAGCCCATGGGGGAGAAATTGATCACGACTTTGCCTGGCATCAACAGACAGAGGGGTACTCAACTAAAGAAAGAAGGATTTGATAAGGTATTGTCTTTGTTCATCATGTTTAGATGGCAGCTGGTTACTCGCACGTTTTGTGGGATGATGCTGGCTGGGCCTGGTGTTTTTTTCCCCATCCCACGCCCTTGTGTGCCGTGCCGGAGCACCTTCATAGGTGCCCCTGTCAAAAGCAATCGCCCCATCAGTGTGTGAAAGACTGAGTCAGGGGGAAGGATCATTGTCTTTGCGTGTGTGTTGCATTCACAGGCATTCATGGTTCTGGGACAGTTCCTGCTGCTTCGCAAGAATGAGGAGCTCTTCAAGGAGTGGCTCATGTACACATGTGAGGCCAGCAGCCGGCAAGCGTCGCAGTGTTTCAAGTGTCTCATGGACTGGTGCGATGCGTTCCTGTAGCAGGCTTTGTCGTGGGCCACCTGGCTGGTGTAGCCCTCCTAGCCAGACTATGGGGAGCATTGGAGTACATTCCATTGAATTTGATCAATCATCTTCAGCCATAATCAACCCACTGCTGGATGAAGGCCATCCCAAGTCGTCACAATCTGGCCGCCTGCACATCAGCTTAATTCATCACTCCATCTCAGCAGTAGACGACCTCACGGCCGCGTTCCCACATCCACACCAATATGCTACACAACCTGCTTCATTGGGGTGATGTTAAGGGAATAATGTGAATGCAAAAATGTTCAAGTAGCTAATGGAAATGTGAAAACATTGGCAATTGCGTTGTTTGCAGAATTTGTTGCACTTGTTTAAACATGAATTCAATAAATGTGAACTCATGGTTCTGCACATCTATGCATGGTGGTGTATTGTATTCTGGCATTCCAATGAAAAACACATGGTACTTTGATACAAGAAAATAATATTAAATATTTTTTTATAATATATTTTTTTAATTTCACATCTTCACTCACATTGCAATATTTTGACGTTCCGGGCTAATACAAGAGATTTATATTTCACCATGACTAATAAATTTAGCCACGCAGTGGTGGCCATGCACGCCTGCATAAACACTCAATTATTGAAAACATCTTAATATATAGAGGATTGCAGCGCTTGTGTAATTGTATATAGCTTTGGCTCGCCATCTAGCTGCCTTCCAGCTTGCCTGTAGTTACCGATTGTGACGCTGCATAAAACTCAGCAATTTTATTTTAAAATGTCCTTTCCGTCACAAATTATAATCAACTGCGTTTTCTACAGCTAAATTTGCACAAAGCCTCAGCGCTTTACATTTCTAAAAGTGCGACAGACTCAGATTTCCCGAAATGAACTGAGGAGGAAGGGATTTCCACAAACCAAACAGCTCCGTCTTCCATCAAACTAAATCTTGTGTTTGGAATAATGAGTAGACCGGAAGCAGAAGATCAAAGTTTTCGCAGATCTGCGAGGTATTTCGGAGCCAGCTCCTTCAAGGCCTGAAACGCGAGGAGAAGAAGAAGAAGAAGCATCTTAAGCCCGACTCTGTACTTTTCAGGGAGCCAGTGTATGGTGGAAAGAAAATGGGCACGCGATTTAGATTTGGTGAAAAACCAGGCAGCTGAGTTTTTGAATGCAGGATATTGTAATATATTTAAAACATTTTCAGAAACGCCAGCAAGCAAGGCATTACAGTAATCCAACTTTAAAGTTTGATTTAAAGCTTTCGTGACTGCAGGGATTCATATTCTTGGTTCTTTCGGTAAAGTCACATAGAACGGTAGAAGGGAGAATTTTATTGTTTCCCTTCTACGTGACTTTACCGAAAGAACCAAGAATATAATCCAACCTTGATTAAATAAAGGCATGCACCTGCCTCTCAGCATCCGGACGGGACAGGCTAGGTGTTAGACGAGCTCTATTGCGTAGATGTAAAAACGAGATTTTGGTAATTACACACGTGGGCCTTATGTCAAACTGAGGTCGAGGATAACGCCCAACTTTTTGACCTCAGAGGAAGAACGAATTACAGTCCCCTCTATGGCCATACTAATACCATACTATTTACGCACTTGATGTGGAGAGCCCGACAGCATAATCTGTCATCACAATTTATAAATGTAGGCGCACCCAAGACTGACCAATTTGCAGCCCAGTACATATTTGTCTGCTGTGACATAATTAACTGGAATGCACCTGGTCTTAGAATCGAAGCAATTGTGCGCCTGGATAATGCCATGCTTTAAACAGATTGGTATAGGCTGGGGCGGGAGTAGTGGCCAGCAGAAGGCAGTGAAGCTATATCCATTGTTGCACTGTACTCTGCACCGACGTCTATGCACCCCGCCTTTACCAAACCGCACTGGCTTGTCTGGCATGGCGGAATGACGAATTGTCTGCTTCGGGTGGAGGCGGGTATAAGGACACATTCGTATTTTTACGCGATCTAAACCACACCCCCCCTCCCAAAAAAAAAACCCCACCTCCGTTGTCGATTATTGTATGAATGGAACTGCTAATTCCGTTCCTAGCCACTGGGGGGCGATGGAGGACTTAATCCCCTCCACACCAGGATGTGTATGGGGTTGGTTAATAACCACACACGCCAGGCCGCCCCCAGCGTCTCTTCTTCCCAAGCCGCTGTTGCTCTCCGCGACTGATCGGGTGCTCGTTTGAATCTCGATGCGTTCCGCGCGCGGAATCTTTAGATTGTAGGGGGAGTGTGAATCTTCGCTGGTACGAATCTCTAGGTCATACGGTGGAGTGACGCTCTAGGATAACTGTACTGTTCTAGGTTATGTTACCAAAGGGGTTTTAATGCAGCAATTTATCATACGCAAACCAAAGTCTACAGCTAAAATGACCATTTATATCAAGACAAACAAAGGGTTGGCAGCTCACTGATGGAACACATTGTCTGGGATTCGGGCCATAATTTGATGGGCCCCATCGTGTGGAATTGTGGGCACTTCCACGGTTTGCAGAGACATGCTTTGCAAGCTGACGATGGCTGTGCTGATGAGTTTGAATAGCAACGAAACCGGTCTATGGTTGTCTGCCTCTCTCTATCACTGCTGCTGTCAGCCATGTGTTTCGTCAAATTTATTTTGAGTGTGATCTAAGACGAGAAGCAGTGCAGTTCTTCAGGAACATGCTGATGGAATTCGCATAACGCACACAAGGCGGAGTGCTTTTCGTACACGTGTGTGTGTGTTGTTTGGAACGTGTGAGGTTTTTTTTTTCTCCCGGCATGTACTATCATTCTGTTGTGATGGGGTTTTCTCGTCATTTACAGATTTGATCCCGAGGGGGGGGGGCATGTCCACAGCCCGGATCGAGCAATGCAATCAGCTCGACGGTTTGGGAGAAGACCTTAAGCAGTGGACAGATCATGGCTCTCGATTGAAAACTCATTCCTTTAGAACTGCTCTTTGTGTTTAGTTGTCCTTCCCCCGCACCTCCGATTAGCACGGTTGGCTACGTACGGTACGAAAGAAGTTCAACGTACATGGCTGCTGATGGTTATGATGTGAAATGCGTACTTATTATTCGCCTGGAATTGCAGACGGACTTGTCATCAAGCATCCCGGAGATCGACACGCGATGTCATCAAACTCCGAGAAGCACAGAGCCTTCGTCTCGGAGCCCATGGGAGATAAACCCGTGACGGATTTACCCGGAATTGGTCCGGCACTCGATTCTTGCCTCCAGAAAGAAGGACTGGACAAGGTACATAGCGGTAGCTGGCAATGGCATATGGTCAAATCACCTGGAATGGGCCCTATCCTCATGAGATTTTCAGAACGCTAAGCGGGATTGAGCCTGGATAGTACTTAGGTGAACACCACGCATATGCAACACTTGAAGGCTACTGGCTGGGCTATGTGGTGGACAGCAAAATGTGGTAACACCAACGTCTTGTTCCTGTGCAATACTCCAATGCCTGCCAAGTGCCTTTGCAAACCCCGCACTAAGCGGCTCTTTAAGGACTACTGCTTCGTGGCGTTATTTTGTTAAGGACCAGCACCGTCTCGCATTCACCACACAGTGCATTGCGGCTCTTGAAATATTGACGTTTGGTTCCTGAATTCGAAAAAAATGGTTCTTGGTTGCTGACCCATGCACTAGCCCAGTGGTTCTTAACCTTGTTGGAGGTACCGAACCCCACCAGTTTCATATGCGCATTCACCGAACCCCTCTTTAGTGAAAAATAAAATGTGATTTTTTTCAAATTCAAGACATAGATGTTTTTTACTGGTACACAAAATGAGCCGTTCAAAGAATAAAACCAACACAATGCATAAACTCACAACAAATTACATACCTGGAAATCAATGTGACTTCTGCTGTTGCCTTTGAGAGATCAGTTCAGATATGCGTGGCTTCACCTTGGCAAGTGCCACTCTCATGTCATTTTCACAGCAAAGTCTGTTCCTTTTCTTCGTTTTTATGTCCAGCATCCTCGAAAAGGATTGCTCACAAAGATATGTTGTAACAAATGGTATAAAAAAATCCAGGCCTTTCTTAGCAATAACTGGATACTTGTTCATTTGTCGACACCAAAACGTTGAGAGCGTTGTTGTTCTGAAGAGTTGCTGTTGAACCTGGCTCTGCTAAATTTCAATGATTTCGTCGAGGAATTCATCATTGACATCTGCTGTTTCAACAGCAAACGTGAACGGCTGTCTCACCCATGCTGGATATGACTCTCTTGTAGGGAAATATCCGTCGAGAGACTTTGCAAGCTCATCTAAGTGCGTGGCAATTGTTTGCTTCAGTTCCGTGGATACAGAAATATCTCCGATTCCAGACACATCTTCGATCTTACTTGCACAGTCGTCCAGAAGCGGGAAGTTTGCGAAGTTATTGTTCTCTGTTCGTCGTTTCCATAACGGTATCTTTTTTTGAAAAGCCTTCAGGTGTTCTTCCGCTTCCATGATATTGACTCCACCACCCTGCATCTGCTGATTGAGATGATTGAGAGCTGCGAATATATCAGCCATGTACGCTAAAATGAGAATGAACTCAGGATTTTTGAAGCAATCTGCATGGCAGTGTTGGTGCTCTTGCAAAAACAGGGCTAATTCCACACGCATGGCAAAAACACGATTCCGCACCTGTCCCCGGGATAACCACCGAATATTAGAATGGAGCAGAAGTACCTCAAATTCAGAGCCCATTTCTTTACACAGCTCACTGAAGATGCGGTGCCTCAGAGCACTTTTTCGCACATAGTTCACACATTCCACCACAGTTTTTAATACTTCTGCCATTTTTGGAGGTAAGGTTTTTGTTGCCAACGCATGCCTGTGCAGAATACAATGCGTCACAATGATGTGTGGTGCATCGGCCTTTACTTACGCACCAAAACCAGACTTTCTTCCCAGCATGACTGGAGCTCCGTCCGTACAAACTGCAGAAACCATATCCCATGAAAGATTGTTGTCTCTGAAGAAGTCATCCACAAGCTTCTTCACATCGGCTGCCTTCGTTGTTGTTGTAAGAGGCTTACAAAATAAAAACTCTTCTTTTATCATGTCGTCTTTCACATAGCGTACAAAAACAGCAAGCTGGCTTAGATCAGAAACGTCTGTGGTTTCGTCGAGTTGAAGGCTGAATTTTGCCGGGCTTGAAATCAGATCCGCGACTACTTGAGCCAAGATGTCTTTACTCATGTCTTCTATTCTGTCCCTGACGGTGTCATTTGAAAGGGGAATTTGGGATAATTTACCTTCGGCCGCTGTTCCGAGTATCAGATTCGCCATCTTTAATGCAGCTGGTTTCACAAGTGTTTCACCAATGGTGTGTGGCTTGCCCTGCTTTGCGATCAGGTAAGCAACTTCGTACGATGCTGTCAGGATAGGTTTGTTAACAGGTACAAATCCAAGAGCAGGCAGAGTGGCCCTTTCATCGAATCTGGCTCTCTTCACCCTGAATTCAGCAAGTGTTGTGTTCTTGTATTCCCCGTCTCCATGCAGCTTCAAGAAGTGTTCCTTTAGTTTTGCCGGTGCAAGACTAGAGTTGCTCAACTTGGCGTTGCAAATCATGCAGATAGGACGCTCACTCCCATCACGTTCCGTGATACATGAGAATCCATGTTGTACATATTCGTCCGACCACTTTCTTCTTTTGCCCGACATAGTTAGTATGGATAAAATATTAAAGAAATCACACGACGTACGACAACAACAGTCACACGTTGACTACTGAGTACGCACTAAATTCCCCGCAGCGCTGATTGGCCAAGCAGTGTAGCATGATCATCTGCAGCCAGTGATGGCCAAGCGGGCCGTGTGTGTCATCACAAATTTACACAATAATTCAAGTGTGTCCGGACCTCCGTGGCGGGGGCTCTGCCGAACCCCTGAGATCGACTCACCGAACCCCTGGGGTTCGATCGAACCCAGGTTAAGAACCACTGCACTAGCCGATGCCCTTTATGAAACTGATTCCATGTGTGTGTTTGTAAATGACTACAGGCATACAAGTTGCTGGGCCAGTACCTACAGGTGGGCAAGAAAGAGGAGATTTTTAAGAAGAAGCTCAAGGACACGTTTGGAGCCGACGAAGAGCAGGCGTCTGCGTGCTACGCGTGCCTTAAGGAATGGTCCAACAATCACCTGTAGCCCTGTGACCGTGGGGAGGTCACTCAGCTACAGGCGTCCCCTCTTTCAGCCCTGCACGGACACTGGGTTGCATGACGTGCCATCATCTCACTCCAATGGACAAACATCAACTTGAATTGGCCTGATTGTCAACCAGAACTCCAGTCGAATGACAACTCGAGTCGGTTAACAAGCGGTTGGCGTTTACATGATTTTCCGGAGTTCAGAAGTGGATCTGGCATGGTCCAATAATGTAAAGATTTTTTTTTTAATAGGGCTCCCACATTAATAACCAAAAAATGTCAATGTACTGTATATTCCCCGTGAATACTAATTAATGAAATACCAATTTTCGCCCCCTGCCCCCCCCCCCCACCGTGGATCCGCCACTGTCAGTGCTGTTAAAGTAATGTGAGTGGAGCAGGGTTTCCCCAGGAATTTGTACTTGCGCTCGGCCCATATTCAGTGGCGAGTGTGACATCTGAATCGATCGCAGTGAGCAGTGTGGTGAAGTATGGTTAAGCAACTACCGTAACCGACACAGAGTGCACAGGGGAGGCTTTCATACAGCAGTGAATTGGCAAATAGTGATAAGTTATTTTCATACGCCAAATGTATTCATATGGAGCGCATAAATTCCACAGCTCCTCGACGATTTTCACTAAATATATATATTTTCCAGTATTGCTTGTGGTATTTTGGAAAATATAGTACTTGTGAATTAATTTCTCTCGTCCACCGGGTGGAAGGAATTATGCAATCAGTTCACGTGCAGGTGCAAGGTGGCTTGGCCCATCTCAGGGCTGTGAGAGATGACGGTGACGAGGCAGTCCATCTAGCAGTAGATTTAAAATATCTGTTTATGGCGATGATGATGTACCACAAGGTGGCGAGCGGTGTTCACAATTTAAAAAAACAACGTTTACAGCCACTTGGGGGCGCCAGAGATTAGGGGTGAAGTGAATGGTATTGAGGTGGCCTGGTCGAGGCATGTGAGACATGATGTGGTTAGAGGGCAATGAGAATGAGTTTGGTGGAGAGAAACAGACGTATTAGGTGGGCTCAGCACTGCAGTGCCACTCAACCCCTTATGAGCAATTGAATTGAACCAGTGCTTGGGATTCCATAACTTTGTACACGTGCACGAGCATCCCATGTTGTCAATCAACTGCTGGATTAGGAACTTCCCCACGCCGTGCGGGTCGTGGAGGTTATTTGACCACGCTTGGGTTCAGTGTGGGTTGGTGCAGGCCGGAAGCACAGACACGCGAGCGTGTTGGTGAAACTGACGGTTGTTGGGAGTTGTTAACGACCTCGCCTCGTATAGAGGTCATGGGTTCGATCCCGACCCAAGACGCCTGTATATTTGGAGTTTGCATGTTCTCCCCTTGGTCGCGTGGATTTTTCTCCGGTTCCTTCGGGTTTTTTTTTCTCCAAATTTAGAAATGTGCGTTAAGAGTAATGTGTATGCTATTCATTTCCACGTGATAAGCCACATCGTCGAGCTATCATTTGTGGCCAGGTCGTTTATGAAAAAGATATTAATAGGTTAAATAGTTTTCTGTATGTATGTTGAACTTCTTTTTCACCGTACGTAGCCAACCGTGCTAATCGGGGGCGCATTGCCATCTGCTTTTCACCTTGTAGCCACGCATCCTTCATTGTGGGACATAAAAATAAATCACTCAAAACGCACGGTAATTGTCGCCAAACCTTGTACATTTTTTCACCTTTGCCTCTTCGCCAGAAACAAGATTACACGACCATTTCCGTCCCACAGCACACCCACACACTTTACAACCATTTTATAAATTCCCATAATGCTTTGCGCAAAACGACCAGATGTCACAATCCACATCGCAGACTTTCAGCTGCAATCTCCATTTGCTTTTCGATGATGTCGAATAAAAAAAATGGACGGTTAACCTTGAACAAACGTTGTAATTCAATACAATACTTTGTTTATAACCACGTGAGAGCCCATTTGGCACGAAAATGTATTGTTCAAGTGCAAGTGATTCCATTGCATATGGCACAACACTCAATGTAGATATAATTATCCATACATTCCGATGAAGAACCTTCTCAACAAGGGGTCTTGCAACTCATGAATATTGAACGCCTGTTTTTTACATGGAACTGTTTTTTCTCCAGTATTTTAACCCATTACACCTGGGTCTGCCCCTTGACCTGCTGGCAAGCCATAGTCATACCACGTGTCTGCAAGGTGCATCGAGCTCTGCACAAGGCCAATGTGATGTGAAGGCCATTTATTGATGAACGGGGACTCCTCTTTGTGTACTGTGCGTTGGCTGTGTTTGCACTGTGTGTTGTGTATATCTGGGGATATCCCGTTGTTTAAGAAATCGATTGCTCTACAAATGATTGGTTTTGCTTCGGTTCCCGCACGTGCCCCGAGACGGGAGGTGATCATGGGGCCGGATTTGGTTATGTCATTGGCATCATTGGGAGAGGTCCAAGAACGATTGAGACATCACTCGCCACTCACTGATGCAAGCCGTGGCCGCGAATTGAATTCAGGTCCCCAGGTTCATGGCACGATGCGCTAACCACTGCATTGGATTTGCGCTGTATCCCTCGTAGAAGAAGAAGACGTTTTGTTTTGAGAATCTATCTAATCTGTTCCCATGGGACCTCGGATAACACTCCTTATCCTATGGAGTTTATTTATAAGGGTTTGTCGTAAAACGCAATTTATGTCTTTTGCAAGTCATCACTCACGCAGCCCAGTTATGTTTGCATAATCAAACCAATTCTAAGTGCGTACGCCGCTTCTCCGCTCTCGACGCTGATCCAGCGGTAGAGATTCCACTTTCCTGTATCGGGGATCGGTCTGTCCAAACAAGAACCGCTTTTGACTTTACACAAAGCAATGAGATACTAATTTAATTTGTGAGAACTGTTTCCAGTGGGGGGAACCCCCCCCCCCCTACAAAGTGGAGGCTATATAATCTGAACTGTATTGTACTTTTTGAGACTGCGTATTGTGCAAGATGTACGTTATACGTATGCGTGGCTCGTCCGTGCGTGTGTAGCGCACGCACGGGTTAAATCCCCATGTGACCCCGTGCGGGTAGCAGCACGGTGCTTGCTCTGCTAGAACCAGAACACATCGCCAGCACGACACGCCAGCATTTCCTCCGGCCCAACACAGACACAAGCGCTCAACGCCTCATCTGCCCACCAGCCCGACCAGCTGCCCAACGCCAGTTTTATTTGGGGTAAAAGACCGGGTTGGCAAATTTAGCCGGGGAGTCGAACCTCAATGGCTCTGGCTCGCTGGTCATGGCTAGGTTGAGGCCAGTTGGCTCCTGGCTCGTGACCAGCGCAACGTACGCACGCGTGATGGATCTGGTTAAAGCCATTCATGGTAGTATTTGGGTGATTCTACCTCCCATGTATGGAATTGTGGATGACCCGAGATGCCCTCCTCTCCGTAATGTCAGAGGTGTTTAGCATTGCGTTGCATGCCATGTGCCACTGTGGCAGTGTCCTGTAACTTGCTTGTTTTGTAAAAGTTCTACATATGCCCATGCAAAAAAATATAATACTCAATATAAATTGTGTAATTCTCCTGCGTGGGTATTTAATGGTTCGTCTTTTTCCGTTGGGATGTTCGTGTGTGTACCGCGTGCTCTTCGCATGACATCCCACTAGGAGCTACAGAAGCTCCCAAGCACGTCGAGTAAAACATCGGACACCATGCTAAACAACATGGGGTACAACCCGAACACCCAGCGGAGAGCTATTTACGTAATTATTTGAAGCCCCCATGTCAATGCAATGTTAGGAAAAGACCTAACTCGTCTTTTGGACTATCCTTCACCATTGCAGGTCAGTGTACGTTGATGAAGTATAGCGAGGCACAAGACACCCACTGATGTTAGCCGTGCCTAAAAATCGAACCACTTGCACCACCACTATGCAACATCATGCATGTATCTGGGAAAGCCACACTGTGACGCGATACCTTTTTTTCTCTGCAAGGTCCTGCTCTATTAGGATGATTCGCGTCGTGTGTTTTGGGAGGAAACCAGAGTGCTGGGACAAAGTCCACCACGCATACAAAGCGATAACACTGGTCCGCACAGATGGGATCGCAAACTCACTTGCTATCCTATCCATCTCCCGTCCTCGCTGCAGGTGCAGCGGATTTAGGAGGCTCACGCATGATTCGCCAGCCCATGTTGCCTCCATAGTGCTGGATCACAGGTTTACACAACCACCACCACCACCACCACGCCTGGATAATTTAGGGGCTTGCACGAACATTGACGTCCGTGTGGGGATGCGTGGTGATGAGATGAGTTCGCATGTGGGAAGCGACGTCGATTGTGGCACCCCCCAGGATGTTGAGTGATAACAACGACGCGCAGGAAGCAGTGGATAGTCCATGGCTCATGATGGTGTGTTTAAACAAAAAAAATTAACCGCAATTAATAATCTCTCGATGCAAGCCAAGGCAATCTACCTGGCCCACGTTAATACAAAACCGGGTGTTTATGTCGACATGGGCCATGTGTTTTTATTGCAGTCATGCGCTCGGAAACTGAGGCAGCGGTAGTATTGCACTCTTATACGACACGCGCTCCAACACTCGTAATAAACACAGAGCTCTCCCTCCATAGACTAAACAGAGTGTTGGGGCGAGTGCTGTTTGCGAGCACTTTCGAAGAGCGATTGCGTAACGGTGAGTGCGGTGCGCTGCAAACCCGACGGCCCGAGATCGATTTCCGCTCACGGCCATCAAACGGTGACGATTATCTGAACCGGTCGTGTGCTTCTCCGAGGTGGACTCAGCCTCAAATTATTGCATTGCCACGAGGGAGACAAAGGCGGCCGGGCGCGGTGCTGGCCATCCACCCCCTCGTGTGCTCGCTAACACTCAACTATACACACACACACACGTGCCTCGTTTTCCTGCTAAACTTGTTTGAAGACAGGTTAACCAGAAACTGGCATTCATTCAGTCACTCATCCATCCATTCATCCGTTCAATAATTAATCTATACATTCACCTATTTATGCATTCATTCATCGTTTCACCGACTTATGCTTTAACATACATCATTATAGATTCATTTCTGAATTCATATTGTTATTTATCCATTGAATCATATGTCCATCGATTCAATCACGCAACCATTCATTTGTCTATTAATTTGTTTGTGAAATCACATTCTCCATATTTCCTTTAAACGTATATTAATAGATTCCATCATTTCCTTCATCTATTCATTGGTTTTTTTGCATATTTAACACATTCAGGTATTAGGCCAGCAATTCAGCTATTAATATATCCATCCATTCACCGGGTAAAATGTACCATTGATCTATTAATTTATTTATCTATTCCACCAGTAGTCAATCGTTCATTTATTCGTCAGTCTATTCATCCGTTCATCTACATGTATGCATTATTCATTCATAATTCATTCATCCACGGTTCACCTCCACCTCATTTAATTAATAACTAATGGAGCCGTTCAATTAGCCTTGTATACATCCAACAATTTGTCTGTTGCTTCAATTAATCCACGTGCGAATCTGTCGACAGTGCGAATCTGAGAGTTCTGTCGAAAGCAAAAAAAAACACTCCTTATTTTAAATGGTATGGACCAAACCCTTCTCTCATATGGCAGGACTCTCCCGAAAGATCATCGCGAGTGTCAGCGAAGCTTCATGACACCAGTGAATAAATGGGATCGTTATTAACAGTGTTGCAAGGTGCAAGACTGGATTAAATCCCCCCCCCCCCCACACTCGTGTATTTTCTACATCGTATTATCACGCTCTACGTTCACGATGGTTGCTGTCTCTCTCTCTGGTACTCCTCCTCCTGGTGCTCAATCCACGTTGTCTCTCTCTCTCTGGTCCTCCTCCTGGTGCTCAATCCACGCTGTTTCTCTCTATCTCTCTTATTGCGCCACCTTCACTGGAACAAACTTCCCCCCTCCACATTGAGCGGTCACCTTCGCTCACTAAGTTTCCTCTCCTCACTCAGAAATCTCACACTTACTGTTACCCCCAGCTCACCCCACGACCCCTCAATCTCCCCCTCATAACAGGGAACCTTCACTTTCCCCTCTTCACATTCTCATCATACGTCTCTCACTCATTAACCGCCATCCATTCATTCATTCAATCCGTTCGTCGTCATTTTCTGCCATCGATTTCGCCGAATCCACGCATCATCGCACATTCGCCCACATTGCTTCCTCTCATCTACTATTCCGCTCAGCTCATCTCCACCGTTGCATTCACACGGTGCACCGTCGTAAATTCTTTGTAAAGCGCCTTCATTAAGGCGCTATAGAAAAATCCTCTTAACATAAGATACGACGATGGCTGTTTCATAGACCACCGGTGCGTTGTGACTTTACCCACAGCACCAACCTGCCAACGTTTCCTTCCACGCTTTCAACAACCGCCAGGAGGTGGCAGTATCTCGCGTCACCCCCTTCGTTCATAGCATGCTGGGAGGTGGGGTGGGGGGTGAGGCTTCTCCAAGGGGTCTCCGCTCTCTCGCCACAAGAAGCCAAAACTCGCGTGAAATGGAATTTGGCCGAAGGTGACAAACGCGCCGAGGCCCTCTTGAGAACCGAGTCTTCGGACTCGTCGACGTTCTTTCATCGGGCGAACAAAGCGCACTGGGCGACGCGCGCGTGATTTTCCGTTGTTGCCACCGCGTGCTCCTTTAAAGTAAACGCGAAGAAACCAGTCGGGGTTGCCATGAACCCGCTGCAGAGAGGCACGGCGCGTGCCTCAGCTGAACAGGTAAAGCAAGATGACCTGACCCCCCCCCCCACACCGTGCACAAAAGACAAAGATCCCCGTAGAGCCTTAATAGATTGACGGGGACAAGTGCTGTTAGCGAGCAGCTATGAAGGCCGGAACGGCACACGAGGGGGTGGGGTGGCCAGCACCACGCCCGGCCGCCTTTGTATCCCTAGTGGCGATGCTTTTACGCACCGCACAAGGTACTCATTTGAGGCTGAGTCGACCTAGGGGAGGCCCATAACCGATTCAGATAATCGTCACCGGTGTTGGCCGTGAATCGAAACCGGGTGGCCAGGGTCGTAACGCAGCGAGCTAACCACTACATTACCGCTACCCCAGCAGCCGGGTGACCTGACCGCCACCGTACACGTGACCCCTGCACAAGGACGTATCGGTAAGTTGTGTCCATTTTATATACCGTGTTAGATTTGGTCAATCCACTGCCTTGTCAGTTATGTTTTTTTTTAACGGGGGATCGGTTGAGTTAGCCGCGGCCATGAACACGGCCGGTGCTAACGGGTGTGCTGGGGTGAGACCACGCACCCCCAATTGTCCCTTTAACCCCCCCTCCCTGCCCACTCAAATTCACTCTCCTTAGTGGCAAATCACTGTCACGGTGGCCCACACACACACGACAGCTGTACGGCCACCGTACCCCCCCACCCCTCCATTTCGAGCAGAGCTGTAGCCAAGCCTGGCAAGGGTATGGAACTCAGACTGCCAGGTTCGTAGCGCCGTGCGTAAAGTTGGCCACCTGCCTCGGACCAGCGTGGGGGTAAATGCAAGGCGCGCGCCTCTTCGTCTGATCAGGTCTAGGGGCGGTTGTCCAACTCGCGAACCTGCATCTGAGCGGTCGCTCTGGGGGGCGGGTGTCCAACTCGCGAGAAGATGCCCACAGTACCACACAAATATGCGGAGGATGCTGGGAATTGGTGGGAGGGGAGGGCCAAGCAACGTTGAGGTTTCGTGCGGAACGTGGCAGCAAAAAATTAGTTGTTGATGTAATCACGAGGAGGAGGAGCGGGTGGGGGGAGGAAATTGTGGGTGTGTGGGTTCTGGTTGGGTGTGCACGACGGAAGAGGAGGGAAGGTTATCGAGAGATGCGTCCGAGTGGTCACCCAGTCTCATCGACCACCATAACCACCACCACTACCATCTAGGTGGCGATCGGACTCTTAAGCGCAGGTCGTGAAGGACGCGTCGACCGTGTGACGAGGTGAAGAGCTGTAACGCTGTAAAGCCAGCGGCGGCGGTGGCTGCAGAGAGCGCCGCTTTGATGCTTCGGTGCCGACTCTGCCCAACGACTGCCGAGATCTGGCGGAAGGAAGGAAGCGATGGCCCGTGGTGTGTTGGCAATCAACGCCGTTGACCGCGACGACCCTTTGACCTTGGCGCAAGACTCAGTTAGGGGCCGTCCATAAATGACGTCACGCGATTTTGGACGATTTTTACCCCCCCCCCCCTTCGTCACACGGCGTCACAAAAAGTCAGACCCCCCTCTCAAATATGACGTCACAAAGCTCTGCCCCCCCTGCCCCCCCCAAAAAAAACATGCTTCAAATCGCTTTAAACTATTGTCATTGTAGTGCGTATTTAATGTGGCGCTGCACTCTGATGTTGTAGGAGAAAACATTTATTAAAAAGTCTATTTAATGAAGTAGAACGTGTTGTCTATATTTATTAAAAGTTGCGCATTTTTATGTGACGTCACATTTCTCAAACCGCCCTCCTCGTCACACATCGTCACAAATGTCTGACCCTCCCCCAACCACCAGGTGCGTGGC